ATGTTTGTCCTACGACCCACGCATGGGTCTTACAAGAATGGTCTTTTAAAGAAGTAAACTATACGGCATCCCACCGTGCATTTAAATTAATTCGATCATTCAACCAACCCAAAAAATGATCCTTGACATGTACAAGGCTTTAAAAAACATGTACATGCTTAGTAAAACATACATACAAGTTCGATAATAGTGGATTTCAGACCCCAACAATTCTAACAAGTCGTTCTATACTACTATGCGCTGCACCATACGCAAATAGTTCACGTATGATCTCTTTCGATCATCACACGATCATCAAAATAACCACGGCTCTGATACCATTTGTTGTGTTTTACGAGGAACGTCGGCTATCGTGCTTTGAATCGATTAAAAATCTAAGAAACAAATCCACGTACAATAGAACTAACAATCAGATATAAAAATTACGCTTTAAAATTTTGCAGACTGTACAAATATACATGACCTACGGAGCTGGACGAACGGGTCTAAGTTATTCATCACACCAGAATTCTCGTCCTCTTGCCTCGTTGCTTACCGTGCTTCATCGTGTACGCAAGAGCCGATCTCCGAAGCCATGCCTCACCAATCTCCATAGATCACTGAGCTGCCGCGGCATGGATCTCTAGGTCACATGATCACGCCACTGTCGTGGGGAGTAGCCGAGAGTTGCCGTATTGTTGTGCGTGTGTCTACGAGTGGCTGGTGTTGTCGCCTGAGGGTCGTTGGGATGCACTCGCGTTGTCATCTGCAGGTCAGTTGCATTTGCAACTGGTAATCGCCGGGTCTGCCTGGCCTCGCTGGTTCCTTGCCTGTTGTAGCCGGTGATGCGACCGTGTGCGGTAGTCCCCGGTGGTCGGGGCTGCAAGTTGGTGGTCATCAGATATGCCGCGAGGACATATATATTCACCGGGACATGAACGTATGATCTTGGGTTCTTTTGTTATATGACCGATCACCACTCCGATTTGTCTTGGTGGACGAATCATCGGATCTCCCAAAGCCCACTTGGTTCACACATTTTTTCTCTCTTTCTTATGCACACCAATTTCTACTTAAGTTTTCTGATTCTATGCATGTGGAACTCTTCTTGGAGGATAAGAGACTTGGTGTATTTATAGTATACAGTAGAGATCCTAAGGAGGTGCTAAATATAGGCTCCCCATGTATGAGGTTACCTATGGGCCAAGCCCGCTCTGCCCATACTTGAATAATATTTAATACCACTACAGAAATATTACTTAACTCCCCATTTTGCCCCCGAACTACAAATAATTCATATCCCAGCTAATTACTCGATTTATCTCCCCATATTTAAGATCTAAAGCTTGTTGATTAATTTAACTATTGATAATATAATTAATTAACTTCTTGATTTGAAATTAGTACCACTTAATCCTTTATTATTATGTTGAAAATTAATCAATCAGTCGAGCTTGACATAATAATCTTTCTTGAGCTCATTTTGGGGACCTCATCAACCTGGCTGATCGGGACACGATGACCGTAAACAATTTTAACGACACATCATGTAGGCATCACTTACCAATATACGGAGCTTGTTAACCTAACAGAAAAGGTCTCGCTCTTGGTAAATCAAATGAATGAGTACCGAATACATATTGTCTTACGGGTTAAGAGAACACAACAATTATTGAGGTCTAGATTATTTACTTGGTCAGCATAAAATAACCTTATCCTCCATAGGTACGTCCAATACATATGAGATGTACTGGTGTAATTCATTAGTCAAATACCAACCAATTCAAATCATACTACAGCCTTTCACGACTGCTAGTTCAGTTCTAGTTAGGCTATAACAAATATTTATATTTCATAAAGAACCGATATTATGATCTTTCTATTCAACACATCGAACCATATTATCTACAATGTAAAGTACACGAACTATGTTCGCATAAATAAATAAACTATGAATATACACTAGACTAAAAACATGAATCTGAATTGAGAGTAATGTTGGTATATGTGTCCTAGAGACAATCTTTTTGAGGACATATATACATGATCATATTAATAATTATATTTGATTATAATTAGGGTATCAATTAATTAAATAATTGTTTGATTGTTTGTAATTTATTAATTAATTGCTCTCTTGAGTTAATACTATCATTAACAGAGTGAGATGTTAATTGATAAAGTATAACTCTCAAATCGCCTCAATCGATGATCATTAAGAAATGGATATTAATGATACGCGATAGATTGACATGTGGTCTGCATCACATTCTTGGAGAATATAGTATGTCTCACTGCTATGAATAATTGTTATTCGTGATGGACACATGGATACTTTGGAGAGTAGTGGTATACCCTAGCAATAAACCATTTGTTTATGTGTCTACGGGAGTATCGGTTTGTGGAATGGTGTAATAGTCCTTTGACTTGAGGTCAATACGCAATTCATGTATAGAGTGATTTGCTTAGACCTAGTTCAAAGCTTACGCCCTTATGGGTAGATACGGGCTCGTGTTGGGTTGATCACGATATACATGGAATTGGTAGTTGAGCTAAGATAGGATTCATTCCTCGAATATAGTTTCGAGAGAACACTCGTTTTCTCTATACTGGGTTGATAAAGTCATTGGTCAATGCACGTGATTACATTTGAAATGGTGTTCAAATATAATTGATAAAATCAACCAGTGAGATGAGATAAAATGATTAAGCTATTTGGATAGACACACGTTCAAATTCTAAGCTTAATCGAGTGGTTCGTGAATGAAGGGACCGTATCACTATTGAATTCTACACCAAAGGTTTGTTTGCTTTATCTATGTAAACGTACTTCGTATTTTGAGTTCGTCCTTCGACGCAGTCTATGAGTTTCGTAAGGATCATAAATTAGATTTATGTCAATATATGAAGGCCTATAGGGTCACACAATATGCAATCTATTTTCTGTCTAAGAGTGAATCGAGAGTGTTAAATATTCAATTAGATTGGAATATTTATTTATGAGTAATGAGATTATTTTCTATTTGATAGAAAATATTTAATTCAGTTAAATTAGATTTATACTTAATTAAATTGTTATTGGATTAAAGTCCAATTACCTATTGGGCCATAGGATCTCCTACGGCCCATATAATTAGGTTTGACCTAATTATAGATAGGTCATTATCTCATGGTAGTCTTGAACTATCATTAGATGAAAGAAAAGATATAAGCCGTAAAACACAAAACACTCTCTAGCTTTCTGACTGAGGATTCCTAACGTCTTCATCGAAAAGGATTCATTGCGTTGGATCGTGCACCGGGATCTGGATTGCGTGGATGCCATAGTTGAAGACAAAACTTAAACTGTAAGTTTTCGTTAATTATTCAGGCGATCTAGGATCATATCGAATAGCTATAGCCGGATCTTCGTTGTTGGTAAGAAAATTTTAAAATTCCGCTGCGCATGCGATTGATTCGTACGTCGAAAATCCAACAAGTAACACAAAGTCGAGCTTCTATAGTAGACTCCACCAATAAGCTAATATAGAGTCGGAAGGCTGCATTTCACCCCGATGACCTGAGAGGAGGCATTCGACACATTACAGAGGGTTGGGATGAAACTCAATCCAGCAAAGTGTGCTTTTGGAATTAAGGCAGGAAAATTCTCCAGGTACATCGTGACGGAGAGAGGCATAGAGGTGAATCGAAACAAGGTGAAAGTTGTTCTAGATATGGCACCACTAAGGAATATTTGGGAGATACATGTGTTGACATGTCGAGTTGCTGGACTCAAAAGGTTCATAGCGAAGGCAGCACAAAGGAGATTCCATTTCTTCTAGATATTGAAAAAAAGTCAAAATTCATGTGGATAGAAGAAGCACAGGTTGCTTTTGACAAATTGAAGATTTTCTTGGTAGTGTTGCTTTTATTAACAAAACCAGAGGCAGTCGAAATTTATTGAAAGGTGAACTTAAATTTTACTATTCAGAATCTTCTAAAATTTTAGTTATCTAAAAAAAAAAATTAAAATAAAATAAAAGCAACCTTATCAAGCACAAAGAATAATGTTATTAATTTATTATTTAATTAACTTAATATTATGAGATAAATTAAATAATACCGACAGTATTTTTTATAATAATTAGAAATTAAAAATTCTATTTCTATTACTGTATTATAAATTCATTTACTAAAATAGAAGGTTGAACTAAAAAAGTAATATTAGTTATGCAGGAGGATTATACCTTGGCTTCTATCATTTTTAAACATATAATTCTTGATACTACTATTTTCAATTTAATTTTCTTGAAGAACAAAATTTATTGAGAAATGAATGTTAATAACGTAACTCTGTAATATTAGTGATAAAATAACATTAGTGATATGAAAAATTAATTTTAATGAAGGACATTTTATACAATCCAATTTTCTCAAAAAACAACTCTTCTTTTTAAGAGACTTAGAGTGTGTTTTTTTTTTACAAATTATTCCAACTCATACTCAGAATCTAACTCAACTGTAACTCAATCTCAATATACTCAATATTATAAATATAAATAAACAATATGAATCAATCATTCTTACATATCATATCAACTTTAAATTCACTATTCATCCACTCACATATTTCTAGCTAATCATCACTTCACATCATTTTTCTCATACTTTTATATGAAATTAACTATAATGATTTTATTTAAATATTATTTTGATATAAACTCAAATCCCACTAACAGCTAACCATATTAACTTTACCAAAATCAACTCTTGTTAACCAAGAAAACTCATTTTGCGCGGATTAAGTTATAAACAAGCACCCTTATAGATTATTATAAATTATAGATAGATATGACCTTATTAGAACTAGGAAAGGTCTATTGGAAATATACGAGTTCTTTTCAACATTGGGAAGAACATGAGATCAGCTTGAATCTGCCCCCCCACACAAGCTACAGTCGACTTATCCAACAAAAAATCTCATAATCCAAATCACAATAGGATAAAACAACCATTGTTTAGGTGTTAATACACAATTATGCAATTNAAATTGGATAATGCAAAGAAAACTAATGCTACCGAAAAAAGGGTTATCAAAATTTTTGAGCTCATCAAGACCTTTTCACAGAAGCAACCGCAAAGTGTGGATGATGAATAAACTCAAAGGATATCTTAAGCGATGGTTCAACACTCCTTAACCGGCAAATAAGGTTCAGAGCAACTGAGTTGTGTTCTGCAACAAGTTCAATGCGCCGAAGCTCTGCCAACCTGTCTGGATCGTTGACAAAATTCCCACGTACCTCTTTTGCAATTCTCTGAGCTTCCTTAAAGCAGTTGTACATGGATAGGGTCTGCGGAAAAAATGCCAGTCAAAATTTGTCGTACAGTTTTAAGTAAAAATCTGTGTACCTCTAAACTTACAGAGAGCTGAGCATTAGATATCGTCTCTCTGAACGCAAAGTAAGAGGCGTGGTCGGGAAGGCAAGCCTTCTGCAGCAGCTCAAAGTGTTGCATAAATCTCTGCAGGAAATGGTCAATGTTGTGAAAAAGATAATAAACAAATATAAAAAATGCAGCATCTATAGATACGAAGATCACAAAAATCTCGTGTACATGCCCATTTATTTGACAGTTCAAGAATTTTGGGAAAGAGGAACCTGGGATATATTTTCACAGCCCACCCTAAGGACAAATACATAATAAGCAAATACAATACAATGTTTCAAAATGATATCCTTTAGTACTCATAAGCACACAGTTGTTTCCCCATTTGAAGTATTGAATTACAAATCTATACTTATATTAAAGGGGATACTATTTACCAAATTAAGTAGCCAGAAAAGTCAACAGCATTTATTGCATTACTATTTCCGTATTATGCTATATAAAAGGATATTTTATTTACTACATTTACTATCCAGAAAAGTCAACTGCATTAAATGTCATTACTATTTTGGTATTATAATATTTTATTTATTTAATTAATTTATTTATTTGTTTTATTTTAAAAAGGTAAGTATAATAAAAAGAATTTAATAATAAAAAAATCAAATACCAAATAAATATGTACACTTTGACTTATTTGATTATATTTGGTATTTGATTATGCCAAATATATTCCTATTTAGTATATACATTAAATACTTACCAAAGTATTTATTTGTTTTATTTGTCAAAGTTAAGTATACATTTTTTTATATTATCAAATCATAAAAAAAATATTAAAATCCATATTGAAAAAAAAAATCATATAATTTTATAACAATTCTACTACACTATTTAACAATATTTTTTTTATTATATAATAAAATAATAATTAAATATTATATGGTGAACAACAATAAGTAAAACTGTTACTTTCTCTTATATCAAGGGATAAATTTATATGCTAAAATTAAATTTTTATTAGTATAAATATTTTAGTGAGATAATATATTAATTATTTTACAAGCTAGCCCTAACATGCTCATATTTAATGTTTTAAAAGATGTAGAAAAAAACTTATAATAACTCTATTGTTTTTTAGACTTAAACGTTGATTAAAAGAGGTAAAAATTCCTAATTTTTTAGACTTAAACGTTGAATAGCACCATAGATTGAGAGTTTATATTTAGTAAAATTCCTAATTGTAATAAAAAAATTAATTTTTGCTATATTTTAGAATATCTTTAAATTCATTATAAAAAAAAAAGAGAAAAAAACTACAACGAAAAAAGTAAGTCAGCTATATATCGATTTGTTGTACTCCTCAAATCACATTCACAATTTGGCTACAAGGAAAGGAAACTCATTGATTAAAATATTATTTTGTCAGTAGTCTTAATGTAAAAGAGACTTTAAGACTCCACTTGAATATTATATAACTTTTATTGAACATTGTACAATTTCTTGCGTATTATAAACTTTTATTGAATATTGCATCTTATAATATAATATTCTCCAAATAAATATATATCGTGCTTCGCACGTACTATATATATCCCGTACATTTTCTTTATTCATGTATATAATTATAAGTGTGGATAAATAGCCTTAAAATTGTGCACCCGTGCATTGCACGGGCTATGTACTAGTATGAATTAAGTAAGAGAAACATACCTCTTGCTCGCTGTTGAAAGGACCATGACAGAGGATTTTGTTTTCGTTCCTTAATGAAGCAAGCATCTGAAATTTTTAGGTAAGTTAATTAAACAATTACAGTTGGTCATATATTCCGGCTGTGAGGGGAAAAATAGTGCCCTTGAAAGAAGGAATATAACATAGCTTAGCATCAGAGAAGACAATTCATATTTCTCACTTTTAATCAATAATCAATCCCTATTCATTCTAACCACATACTCATAGCTGTCAGTTCACCTAAACATAAATCCCAACCCATTTCTAGCCATCCAACAACAATAGGCACCGAACTTCAGATGATCTTGCATATTAAACATATGAGAGGAATTAGAAATTACAGTTACCAGCATTAAACCTTCCGCAACATAAATGTAGCACTGCAGTAACAAGACTGCAGGGGGGATCGAATAGTCCTTTTCCACATCCTTCACAAAATCTCTCTTCTTCTTCGACTTTCGTCGAGCTGCTAGAAAGGGCAAACATTGATAAACTTTAGAGTTGCGCAATGGGAGCTGCAAAATGTTGCCTTTTGACAAAAATATTTATCCAGAGGCTAAAAGTTGAAAAAATGTTAACGTGCACAATGCAATAAGGACATGGTAGGTGTGATCTGTAGGTCACTATATAGCGAAAATCCGAAACCATAAAACTATGTGATCAAATCACATAAAAACCATTGGTTTTTCACTATTAGCAATAGAAGATACTATAATCAAATTTAGATAATTTTTCAAACAAGTACAACGCACAGCACCCAAAGATTACCAAATCATAGAGAATTTTAGGGCCGTACATGGCACGGAGCATATGCATTTAGGATATACAACATTTTATAATCCCTTGTACTAGTCCAAATTCAACTAGATTAAAGTGAATTATTTCGCACTCACCAGAGTCATTGCCCAGCATCATTTTGAGTTGAGTTTTCTCCGCAAGTTTAATCAGTACAACATAAATGTACCAGTATACCATGCAATATTCACTGGTGGAATATAGCTCTAACTCAAAGCCCAGAATGAGGAATCGCAAAGCAATCCAATATGTTTGCTCCTCTATCCAAATAAAGATGTGTTTGAAAATCTTTGAGCATACGTTCTGAAGAAAAGAATAAAAAGTTTTAGATGGTTGCCAGTGATAAGGACGTAACATGGATCTTATCAGATCAATCCTGACAGAGAAAAAAGACCGATACAGATAAGCATCGTATAACTATGCAAACTGCGTAGCTCATTGAGAGCAGAAAGCATTGTAGTAGAAACATGTAGCAAGTGCGACTCACAATCATCCCAGCAAGAGGAATCAACTTTAAGAAAGAGAATTATATCCCCGTATGTAACACGGCTGTGGTAGATTAATATTTTTTGTCAAATGCTTTTATTTGACTTAATGTAACCGGATACTTTATATTAAATAGTATTGCGAGAAGAGACATAATAAATGCTTTTGCTAAAATGGGGAAAATGAACATGAACACCTGGTGCTAATCTGGGGTAGTTTGGTAATAAGCCTGAAATCATGGGCATGATAGTGGGTAACATCTTTGTGTAAAATTAACCTAAAATATTAAGAGTGTACTCAATAATTTTAAGTCACCCCACTAAACTTCTTTCTCTTTCATACTATGAAACACAAAACCATATCTGGTTACCAGCAGTCTCACCCAATAGTGTGAACTTTCAAGACACATTAGGTTCATTCACCAACCCTAAACAGCATCATAACTCTCGCAAGCCTGTAATACATTGATTAACAGACTGTACATGGTCAATTTGTTTGGCTTCCTAAATTCATGTACCAAAAAAATCTAGATTCAGACAACCAGGTTGATAGAAGGAACTGTGAGTAACAACAGAGTTGCAGTTCTCTCTTAGATTTACGTCACATGATGTTTCTGAAAGCTAAAATTAGTTTCCAAGGACTACATCCCGTATCTGAGATGAAAATTTCAGGCATCATTAGGTACAATAATACAATTTAATATAAAAGAAGATTTCTCTCNTTTTTTTTTAATTTCACACTATTCACTTTCACTTTTTCCTGCACCAATCACTTCAACACATGTTTGGGGAGGTTTTTGTTGTCCGTTTTGGTCTTTTTCAGAGCAGCCATTTGCCGGGGTTAGGGTTCATGTATTCAAATCGATCCCGACTCTTCAATTTCGGTTTTTTGTCGTCACTCGTCCGCCAATTCTGAATCGAAACCGGCACAGCTACCTTGCACCGATTCTCAAATTTTCAAAAATTACAGGCCCCAACCATGGACCATGGGCCTTGAACCGGCCCGTCGTTTGATCCGAGCCGGTTGCGGTTCACGCCTCTAAAAAAAATTTGAACCGCTGATTCCGAATCGGAACCGGCACGGCTGCCTTGCACCGATTCTCAAATTTTCAAAAATTCAAAATTAAAAAAAAAATAATATTTTCTTGCCCATTCCGGGCCGGGCCCGAAACCTCTGAAACCGGCCTGCCTGGATCAAATGGTCAGATTTTTAAATTTGACCTCTGAGATCCAACGGTCAAGATCGGTCGAACTGTCGGTTCGGTTCAAAATCAGTTGTTCGCCGAATTTAAAAAACTGAAGGAACCGGCGGAACCAAAGGAGGAGGATTTAGGGCCATGCAATAAATTGTTTGTTTAAGGAAGAAAAATCCTCCTTTAAAAAAGGGGGAAAAAATGATAAAGAACCGGATGATTTTACTAGCATTAGTGGAACCCGCGGAACCGAAGACGACGACGACTACGCCTACTATTACTAAATCGTTTAGCCCATCATGTCATCTTCTTTTATCAACGCAAGTAAAGCAAACTACGAGGATTTTGATTCCCAGGGTAAGTAATACGTACGCAACTTAATTGACATATTATAAGTTAATATATTATTTTTTAACCAAAAATATCTTTTTAACATATAATATGTTAACTAAGCCCAAGTCCAAATTTTTTTATTCCCCCCTCCAATTCTATTAAATATACAAAAAAAGTACGGCAGACCGGTTCAATGAACCGGCCAGTAATTGTCGCGCCAGTTCTGGTTTATAAAAAATGACGAACCTGAACCGCCTGTTGACTGGCCACCTCTCACTGTATATCATAGGACCGTATAGCTCATGAGAATATCTATATATATCGTCACACATATCAAAGGAACCTTGTCTATTCAAAAAACCCTATGTTTTTAAAAGGATAAATTCTAGTTCCTTGTTATAGTTTTACGTTATAACTGGTGCTTTTAACTCTTTGAAGGATCACGAAAATTATAGGCTATTTTGCACCTCGGTTTGACAGTGTAATTGTGGTTTGTCCATGGTTTTACTAAGACGGGGAAACAAATAATTATTTGGATTATTTTCAAAGTTTCAGAAGTCTCGTCAATTCAGTAACGAATATCCAGGTTTCAATATATCACTAGCATTGCACGATAATGACAAGTAAAGACATGATTGGGATTATTCACATATACCTGATCAATGGAAGTGCTTGTAGAATCCCCAAACTCATTCCTAAAAGCCAACTCCAGCTGTTTTAGAACAATGCAAACAATAAATAAAATAATTAGCCCACGAACGCCTATTAGAAATAAGGAACTTAATTACAAATTCTCAATCAGAAACTGTCAAACCACAACAGATGCAAAGTGGGACTCAAAACCGAATGACCAAATGACGGGAGGATAGAAATTACTTATTAGTCCTGCAATGGACAAGTCTGATTGATAAATTCAACACAGCTTTTCTCTCAAAAGAAGAATATGGCAATTTAATCAAGGAATAAAGAAACAAAAGAAGAAAATAGGAATGCACAAATAAAAGATTTCTTATGGCTTTTAAACTAAAACTTAGTGAAAACATCAACAACTACACACATTAAGATTGCCACATTTCCATAATAAGCAACAACAGAAAACAACCTTGACAAAACATTGAGCTACTGCAAGCTTCAAAGATCCAACGCAAAATATTGGACTCAAAACCTAATGACCAAAGTAAGAAAAGAGAGAAATCACCAATCAGTCCTAATAAGAAAACAAGTCAGCTGTCAGCCTCTAAACAACAACATTATCCATCTCTCATCCTTTTTCTTCCATTTTCCTCCTTTTAAGAGACAAGTATGATTTCCCGCTACTCAAATTAAATCCCAAATCCAAGAGACTCTGAAAAATTATGTATCGCAAGATATTCCATTTCACCAGCAGAAACAATACAATCTGCTCTCATACCGACTGACAACACATTAAATCCACACTTCAAGCTTCTCTTAGGGTGCAGTACTTCATCCAATCGAAGAAGTCAACTGTGGAATCACCAGACTCACGACTATCAATTAGTGTCTCCACCTGCCATGTCTGCCACCACAAGCCAGGGAAAATCATAGGCCAGGGAATGAATGGGCCGCTTGATGTTTGGGTTAGGAGTCCAAATCGCTATTAGTCGCACTTTGCACTTCTCCCAGTTATCTCGAACAAGTCCATCTTCCCCCGCCACAAAACAGCAGCTGCTTTCCGTTGTGGCTTATGGATAAGGAATGCAGTTTTACTTGTCTTTGCCCAGTAAGAACAGCGATTTGACGTCTAGACTTTTCCCAAATGTAAGGGTAGTGTCACGAATTCCTAGACTTCAAACTTTGTCTACGTGCTGCAAGACCTTTATACAGGTTAACGAAGTTCGATCCCATAAACGGGCGTGTCCCAGGACCCACTGAAAGATTGTGTTCGAATCTAATGCAAGGGAACTCACTGGGCGCTCTGCGGCAACTTTGGCTTCCAATCCACCTCTGGATTGTTAATCTCAAATAAATGGTCGACATCTTTTCTTGCATTCCACCCGTGTATAACGCCGTCCATACCGCCAGCCAGTCTGCTGCAATCGACATTACGCTACAACCTAAACGCCTGCAGTCGACATTACGGCAGGCGACATTACGGCAGGAGATGATCAAGAGGTGGTGATATGGAACCTGGAGGTATGTACATTACGTACTCGAGGCGTTTAGGTTGTAGTGTAATGTCGATTGCAGCAGACCTGACTCTTTTAGTGGCTCTTTTAGTGGCTGGCGGTATGGACGGTGTTATACACGGGTGGAATGCAAGAAAAGATGTCAACCATTTATTTGAGATTAACAATCCAGAGGTGGATTGAAAGCCAAAGTTGCGGCACAAGCGCCCAGTGAGTTCCCTTGCATTAGATTCGAGCACAATCTTCAGGGTCTTGGGACACCACAATCCGTTTATGGGATCGAACTTCATTAACATGTATAAAGGTCTTGCAGCACGTGGACAAAGTTTGGAGTCTAGAAATTTGTGATACTACCACGTCTGGATCAAGACTGTACATTTGGGAAAAGTCCGGACGTCAAATCGCTGTTCTTAGTGGGCAAAGACAAGTACAGCTGCATTCCTTATCCATAAGCTACAACGGAAAGCAGCGCATGTTCATGTTCGAGATAACTGGGAGCGGTAAGTGCAAAGTGCGACTAATAGCGATTTGGACTCCTAACCCAAACACCAAGCGGCCCATTCATTCCCTAGCCTATGATTTTCCCTGGCTTGTGGTGGTGGCTTGTGGTGGCATCTGGAGACCGCACTAATTGATAGTCGTAATTGATAGTCGTGAGTCTGCTGATTCCACAGTTGACTTCTTTGGTCGGATGAAAGTACTGCACCCTAAGAGAAGCTTGAAGTGTGGATTTAATGTGTTGTCAGTCGGTATGGGAGCAGATTGTATTGTTTCTGCCGGTGAAATGGGATATCTTGCGATACATAATTTTTCAGAGTCTCTTGGATTTGGGATTTAATTTGAGTAGCGGGAAATCATACTTGTCCCATAAAAGGGAAAAAATGGAAGAAAAAGGATGAGAGATGGATAATGTTGTTGTTTAGAGGGTGACAGCTGACTTGTTTTCTTATACTATCAACAAACTTCTAAAGTTCAGTCCACATATTCAAAGTGGTAAGTCTTTTGAAACTCTTTGACCCGTTTTTAGCACTCGATGACTTAGGTTAAATGAAGTAAAGGCACCATAAAACTCCTAGTAAGACTTTCTAGGTTTATTGACAATAACCTACCCTCCAAAATAACTAATTCTCTATAACCATACCACTTTAAATTGCAAAACATCTTCTCGATTTTAGATGAAAATGATAACATCAAAATATATTCTCAAAACTTTCAAGACACATAACCCAACGGTATTGATAATCTGTCTATTTACATATTAGTATGAAAGGAGGATTAATTTTGTAAAAAATTGCACGGACTAAAAAACCTTATGTTTAATATATTTTTAGTGGAAAACATATATGCAATTAAAAGGAATAATTACACATTGCCTACCTAACTATCCTGAAAATTACACTTTGCCTACAAAACTTTTTTTTTTTACACTTTGCCTACCTAACTTTGCTTTTTTGTACACTTTGCCATTATTTCCGGTCATTGCCGGCCACACGTGGCAATAAGGCACAAAAGCCATGTGTTGTATTATGAGGCCGGCGGTGACCAGAAATGGCAAAGTGTATAAAAATGCAAAGTTAGGTAGGCTAAGTGTGAAAAAAAAAAAAAAA